CAATGAAAAGAGATTATTATTTATATTAAAGTGGTTGTGTCTCCGACGACCTTCCTTTATTGGATTGACTCTGTCTCCAACACCGGTTGGAGAGTTGACACCTTTTTTCACCTCTGTGGCCTCATCTTCACCCGCCGTGCGCAGTCCGTTACTGCTGGGGAGGGATTCGCCCCCGAGAGAAAACACGCTCCATGATGGCCATTTCTTAGATCAGCAGCCGCATCGCCTCACCGGCTTCACCTATCCGGAAGGCATCGCTCTGGATGTGTGGCATCGTTCGACATGAAAAGCATCGTTCTATAAATGTAAACCACACCTCCCTGGAGTCCTTCCTGGGCGTTGACCTCGCCTTCCTAGCTGCTACTGTACTTCCTGAGCGTAGGCCACGCCTTCGTAAGCTACTTCCTGAGATAAGACCACGCCTCATGGTAACTCCGGAAGCTCTGGCGGCGGTGTGCAGCGGAAGGAGATGGATATCGGACCACAACAGGACCGCGGCCCTGGCCGACTGCAGGCTGACCAGCCAGTTATACATACGGTGACGGCACTGGGTTGTGATGACGTCAGTGGGTCGTCGGCGGACAGCAGGTGTTTGGCTGGCGACGGGCGGCTGGATACTGGGTCATTCTGCACTAATGGGTGATGTTGTACAGAGGGACGGTGATGGAGAGTGCTACCACGCCATGACCCATGCAGACTCTGCATTCAGCAACCCGTGCAACTCCTCACAAGAGTACATTATATACCATATTTGATGGCCCCAGTCATGACTTCTGTCCGACTGCTTTGACTGTATACCCAACCGCAGTCCGACTACATTTAAAAGCTAACACAAGCATGAAGCATCGATACCTGTGATACAACTGATGTCGGTTCCTGTAACCTTACGTCGTTACCTGTGAAAAGACTACACCGGTACCTGTGATAATCAACGCCGATGCACCATGTTGTATTCTAACGCCGGTACCTGTGATCCTCGATCACTGAGTCTGGTAACATTGATGTTCAAACGTCGATGGCTCTTGTCGCCCGTACTTGCGATTTTATAACGTATTCAACCATTCTGTGTGATTTCACAGGTGGTGCGGCTGACGGTGTCCCGACCGCCCGACTTCGTGTTCCGGCCCGGCGACTTTTGTTACGTCAACATACCGGCCGTGGCCAAGTACGAGTGGCACCCGTTCACCATCAGCAGCTCGCCAGAGAACGAAGGTGAGTTTTCTAACATACGGGCTCCATGTGGCGCAGGAATAAAGCGTTGAGGTTTGTGTAGGTGGGTCGGCAGGTGGCCGTGGTCAGCCGATGATCATGTTGGTGGATCACATCATTGCAAATTTATAATGACAGTGTATACCAGAAAGTATTTTGAATCTTTATTTTCTTTAAATCTTTGACATGCTGTTCCATCTGAAGCACTCTTACTAAGTAAATGGAGCTCCATCCATACTGCTGACGCTGGCGAATGTCTGACGTCCCTGCCACTGACCGTTTCAGACCAGATCACCTTCCACGTGCGGGCCGTCGGCGAGTGGACCCGTAGTCTGCACGACAAGGTGCTGGAGGCGTGTCTCAAATCCTTCCTCTACGACCAGTTCGTACTGATGAAGGCCACCGCGACGCCCCACCCGGGCCCCAGCGACCTGGTCTGCCCGCAGCTGGCGCCACCTACACCGGCGACGGTAGCGCCACCGCCAGCGCAGCGGAAGTCGGGTGTAACAGCCGTGACGCCCGAGCAGCTGCAGCGCCTGGAGTGGCTGCGTCAGGCACAGGCCGAGTCGGCCCCTCACGGGTTCTCCTGTCAGAACCCGGCGGGGGACGGTCCGGGCGGCCTGCACAACGCCGGGTTTGTGGGCGACGAGCGCGTCGAGCCGGTCAGGACGGTGTCGGCGCAGGTGCCGGAGGCGACGGTCGGTGCCGGCGGCTGCAGCGGCAGCGGTTCGGCCAAACGGAGAGAGGCAGAGGGGTCGGCCAAGCGGATAGAGGCAGAGGGCTGCCAGCGGCCGGCGCCCGGTCCGGGGACGGTGGCCGGCTGCAGGACCGGCTCCGTCAGAGAGGCCGGCGCCGTCCATAAACAGCACTCGCTTCAGAAGGGGACCGTCGATAAACTCAGCTGGAAGGTGGGTATCAGCAGTGGGCATGACTATTTTCAATAGCGATGAGCTGGTGAGAGTTCTACTTCTATGATGCACGCTTGGATTAAGTAAATTTGTCGTCATACGTACCTAGACTAAATCGACAAATTTGATGACCTAAGTTCTCATCAGCTCTGCCTGTGTCTGAAACAGTGATCGTTTCCTGCTGGTTCTAGCGATCATGTGTATGACGTTGTCTGTGCCCCGGCAGATAATCCTGGACGGTCCGTACGGAGCGCCATCCACCAGTGTGTTTCACGCGCAGCATGCCGTGCTGGTGGGCGGCGGTATCGGCGTCACGCCGTTCGCGTCGGTGCTGCACTGCATCATGGACCGGTAAATGAGAAGTGGACGAGGGGGTCGCCTTCCTTTCCAGTGTCATCCCACATACCCATAAACACACACTGCATCATGGGCCGGTCAGTGAGGACAGGAGGTCGAATGTCGCCCATAGCATACCCCACATACGCCTTTATACACATCCTGTATAATATGCCGGTCAAGCGTGGACGTGTTGTTGCCTCTTTCACTCTTCTTTCTTATTGTTTACTTTATGGCTTATGCGGCTAAGTATCAAAATTATTAATGTATTTACCTATGTTGCTCGGTATTGGCTTGAAGTTCATTCAGTTCACTCAGATGTATTAGCACATTTGAATAATGAAGGTAAATAGGTCCGACAATTTAGGAAGCCTTTTGGCCAGCTACACCCACCAATACCTACTCCTGATCTAAGTGTTCATCTTCTGCAGCGCCGATCTACCAAACGCCTGACTGTGTCGCTCTGTTTCAGGTATAACGCGGCACACCGGCCCTGTCCTCACTGCCTGGTTCCCACCTGCCTGGAAATGCCCTCGTCAATGCTCAAACTGAAAAAGGTATGGACACTGAACTCACTCTTGCTCCGGTCAGATGTGTATAATGTGGGGGTACCTTGGAGCGCGACAGGAGTGGCGATGGATATGTCTCAGCTTTCCTTATCTGAGAAAAATTATAAGTGAAACGTTCTAAAGAATATCTAACGTCCAGGATTACTTTTAATCTACTTCTCCTCTGAAAAGTGTCCAGTATTCGAATGGATGTGTGTCTGGTCATCCCCACCTGTCATGCATACAGCTTATGTGACGCCTGCCATGCCCGCCCGTTTAGGTGGACTTTGTGTGGGTGAACCGCGACATGCGCAGCTTCGAGTGGTTCCTGGAGCTGCTGCACCAGCTGCGCGAGTCGCAGCAGCGGCGTGGCAGCCAGCTGGACAGCTTTCTCACCATGCAGCTGCACAAGACGTCCTCACTGCCCATCGTCGGCGCCGTGCCGCTGCGCAACGAGGTCAAACAGGGACGGCCCGACTGGGACAAGGTCAGTCTGCCGGGGGTGTCGAGCGGTAGGTGGGAGCCGGGAGGTATTGTAGGTGCTGTGTCATCAGCTCTGTAAGTACTGACGGGTGACGGTATGTGAGCCAAGAGTGGTCTGAAGCGATCAATCAGCGCCAAGTGATCTGTAGCGATTTCAGTGATCTGCAGCAGTGTTGATGCCGGGCCCCTCCAGTGACCTTTGTTTCTCAGTGATCTTAAATACCCATCCACATACTTCCAGTGATGTCAGTAACCCCAATTAACTTATTGTGTCCCGCCTGTCGCGACTTTGACCCCGATCGACCCTGTGTGACCCCCGGCACCCCTCAGTACCCCTCCACTGACCGCTGCCCGGTGCACCTGCCAGGTGTTTGGCCAGATCCGGGACCGGCGGCGCGGCAAGGTGACGGTGTTCTTCTGCGGCCCGCCGGCGCTCGGCCGCGTCATCAGGGAGAAGGCGGCCAAGTTCGGCTTCGGCTTCGTCAAGGAGATGTTCTGAGCGCGCCGCTGCCGCTGTCGCTCCGTCCCGTGCCATACCAGTACCGTTCCTCGGACAGGAGGCCGCCAGGCGCCCGCCGTCCGGAGCGAGCGCCGCCGTCAGGGTACGAACTGAACTCATCGGCGGCAGAGAACAGGAAACCAAATAGGATCGTGTGCCGGATTCCCGTGGCCCTGCGCCGGACAGAGGGCAGCCCGAGAGAGGCCCGTGCTGCCGAACGCTACCGAGAGCTCGGATTGTCCACTCGGTACCGTCCAGTACCGTTCGGTACTTCTCTGGTACCGCCGGGTACAGGCTGGTACTGTTTTCGAGTGCGCGTTCCCGGCCCTCGAGCTGAGTCATTGACTGTGACCGCGTGTGACTGACCGATTGTGACTGAGTGAGTGACTGGGCGCCGTGCGCCCGATAAGTGAGTGCATTGTGCGCGAGGCCGTGGGTTGGTCGTCCCGAGACCGGCTCCGTGGCCTTACTGTGACGCCGTCTGCCGTACGGCGAGAGTGGGACCACTAAGTTAATTATTTGAGCAGCTGAACTCTGTGCCTAGTGACTGTCGTGAAGTGTAGTATTGTATGTGTATTCGTGTATCGTATTCCTGTGATAAATAATACATGTGCGTTCAGTAACAGTGATTCTTCTTACCTGAAGGACGCTTCGATATTCTGAACGTGATTTGAACAACTGACGTGTTTTGGTAGCGCCACACCCACGGCACTTCACCGCGAGGACGGAAAGACTCGCATATTATCGAGACATCCAGCAAAAACAGACAAAAGAAGGGCGTATGGATAAATAACCGTCAAAAAGTCACAGCCAAACTTGCATTCGATGTGCACTCATATCGCGTGACGTAGCCCGTAGCCCGTAGGGGCCCGAGAAATGGCCAGAGATTGTCGCATGGAACAGCTACAGGAAGGGACGTAGGACTCTATGGCACGAGATGAATGGAAATCTGTCCATTCAGAACGGTATCGATAATATCGGCGCTCTGAAGACGAATTTGGCTCGAGGATCAAGGGATAGGGGCCGATTTCATTAATGCATTTCGATATCATTTCATTAAGCCATGGGTAAACACATATTTCAAAACAACATCGCACTGACGGTGTTCTACAGTTTTCTTGTGTGTATAAACCTGGCGACCTTTTCATTGACACTGTACTATCGGGCGGCCGAGAGCGACGACTGGCTGGTGTCGGTGACATCGGCACTCGGTGAGTGAGCCACCCGGACAGGTGACTCACCCAGGCTCGAAGCTCACCTTCTAATGACCCTAGCTAGTATTAACGCAATACGCATCTGATCTTCAAATTCGATTGTAATGTAATGGATTACCAATGACTAAGTGTTCACTTGAACTTGGTAGCTGTGTGTGGACTATCTGTCACCTTGCATCATAAAGTGTGACTAGGCGGGATTGTTCTTGAGCTCTGACCGCTCCCCTGTCCCAGGTAAGATCCTGCTGCTGGACACTGCCGTGCTGCCCATCACGGTGTGCCGCCGGATCCTGGCCTGGGTGCAGGAGACGCCGCTCTTCATGGTCTCTCCGTCTAACAGCCACAAGAGCATCCACCGCACGCTGAGCCTGACCGTCTGCATCCTGGCCGTGGTGCACTCGGCCGCTGCCATGTGGTCCTACTGTGAGTAGGTACACACCGGGGCGGGTAGGTACTGAGAGCACCTGGGGGAGCACGTGGGGTTACGGCAGGTACGTAAGGTTGGATCACCCGGAGACCAGTTACGAGAGACCCAGTCCTACTGTGGGTGCCTACTGGGGACACGAGTGAACGCTGCGAGCACGCACTCCTGTGCGTGCATGGAGACGTTGAGTGGGTACTTACCGGTCGAGACATGAGGGGATGCGGTGACCAGGACTGAAACACCCAGAACGCCGGCCATTTCGTAGGCTCACAGGATCAAAAGACTCCAGTTCTTCGGCTGTGTGACGTTTTCCTTGCCGTCAGTTGTGGACACGGAGAACCTGGCGGAGCTGTACGAGCGGCCGGACCAGCTGCAGTTGAACGTCTCCGGCTTCGCCTGTCTAGTCGTCGTGCTCATCATCGTCATCACGTCACTGCTGAGACACCACATGTCCTTCCTGGTGGGTGTGCCGGCGTGGCGGGAGCAGTGGGTGGTTGGGGTCATCGAGCCACCGACCGGTGGTGGGTGGCGAGGTCACTGGATGGTGGGCTCTGAGTTCACCTGGGTGACTGAGTCTGAGTGACCCTCGCAAACCTTAGAATCTCAGTGAGATCGGTGAACAGTAGGTGGTGAGTTGGTGGAGCCGCTGGGTCACAAGAGTGGCGATGGACCAGGCTCTGCCCAGTTTGTTCACTGGTGATGCCGCTAACCAGTCTCATCGAGTCATATCAGTCTTAGTAAGGCCATCGCTCAGTCAGTCATTCAGTCAGCTACTGTCAGTCAGTCATTGACGGTGGGGTACCCTGGGGCGGCGTTGCAGGCGTTCTTCCTGACGCACCAGCTGTACGTGGTGCTGTACGGCCTGATGATGGTGCACGCCGGACGGTTCTGGAAGTACCTGGTGCTGCCCGTCTGTCTGTGGTCGGCCGAACTGCTGCTGCGGATCGTCTACAGCCCACGCCGCTCCGCCATCGCAGAGGTCACCCTGCTGCCCTCCAATGTGAGCTTCCGTCACCGTGGTGAGAGCTGAAGTCACGGCATTGCCAATCCGCGATAATAGGGGTTTTGGGATTATTACACCGGAGTCTGAGATACAGGTATAGGGCAATACATACGAGTTATCGATGATCTCTGTTAGTGAATAGTTATGCGTGTATAGCCGATACCTTGGGTAAAACGTACATCCAAGGGGTGAACGTTCAACTGGAAGTTCGTAAGCGCGCCGTTGTCCCTCCAGGTGCTGGTTCTGGTCCTCGAGCGGCCTCCAAAGATGCTGTTCAAGCCGGGAGACTACGTGTTCGTCCAGATACCGAAGATCGGGAGGTTCGAGTGGGTGAAGTTTACGATAACCAGCGCCCCGGAGCAGCAGGGTAAGAGACAAACGCTAAGAAAAAGCAGGTGTATATCGACGTATAATCGATATTTAAGCTACACTAATCATGAGAAAATCCAACACATAACAGGGTGGTCACTCGTGCTGTCTCAAGTGCTACTATTTCCGATCACCGTCTCCCGCTGACGATCTCCGCTTGGACAGATCTGATCACCGTGATCTGCTCATAGATCTGATCACCGTGCACGTGCACATCACCAACAACTGGTCGTTCCGGCTGCGGAACTACTTCCTGCAGGACGTGTCGTTCCACTACATCCCGCACCGGCTGCACGCGCTCGAGTCCATCACCGTCATACAGAAGGTGGTCAAGTCGTGGCGCAACATGTTCGGGGGCTTCCAGAACATCGAGGTGCCGATGGGAAAGCCGAGGGAGACCAGAAAGGAGCGGCTTCAGAGGAATAAGGTGAGATGACTGTTGGGCATCAGATCAGAGCTCCGCGACCGATCGCTAACCGGTCAGTGACGGAGGGGGGGGAGGGAGGGAGGGAGAGAGAGATGGGGGGAGAGAGAGAGAGAGAGAGAGAGAGAGAGAGAGAGAGAGAGAGAGAGAGAGAGAGAGAGAGAGAGAGAGAGAGAGAGAGAGAGCTTGTAGCGCCCTTTAAAGTGACATCGCCTTAGCCAGAGGAGAAATACTGAACACATACTATTACCTATGCCTGAACAGATGAAGTAGCTTCCATGACTATTGAACTAAAATGTTATTCTCCGAGACGGTACAGACAAGGCACGCCCTGTTGTATGTATGTCCGGTCGCTGGTGACCCCCTGTAGCGGTGACGCGGCGTCTGCTGACGCCCTCCCCGCCGACGCCGGCAGGTGGACGCCATGAAGGTGGAGGAGAAACACCTGACGCTGGACGTGGTGCTCTCGGAGGATGACGTCACCGAGCCGGAGCCGTCGGCCGCCGTGCTGCTGGAGAAGCCCTCCTCCTCCACACCGGCCGCCAGCCAGGCGCCGGCCGCCGCGCCGCCGGACCCGGCCGCCAGCCGACGCTCGCTGCCCGGCCCGGCGGGCGCCAGTCCGACCAGCTCCTACACAGAGTACCGGCAGGCAGGCCGGCGCGTCGAACAGGAGGCCTCCCAGTTCACCGGCTTCGCTGAGGGCTACTCGGTGTTCACACGCGAGTACGGTAAGACGCTGCGGTTCAGCACGGCCGCGCCGCCGGCCGGCCGCCAGCAGTTCCGTAAGGTGAAGCACCACTCGCTGATACCGTCCCTGGACCAGAAGGACGGCAGCGGCGGACCGCAGCAGCCGGGGCCGCCGCTGCTGCCGCCGCTGCCGGCCGGCGCCGCGCCGCCCGCCGACAGTCGGCAGCGTCTGCCCAACATCGGCAGCATGCAGGCCACCGCCGCGCCCGCCGCCGGCGAGGGCACCTCCATCGTCAGCTCCATGAAGCGGCGCCGACAGGCGGTCGATGACGATGGTGACGACACCATCGAGTACGCCGACACCATTCGGGTGAGGGCGTCGGCCGCCGAGCCGGTGGACCGTGAGACAAATGGTAATGGGCCATTCGCTACCCGTCCGCGCACACTAGCCTGTAGACTTAACTATTTGCGACTCCAATGCTTCTGGGTTGATTTCAGACATTGTGCCTCCACCCGCACTGACTGGGTCTCAGGCTCACTGCTCTGACCGCTATCACTGCCGTGCGCCGCCAGGTATTCATTGACGGTCCGTACAGTTACGGCGGGGAGAAGGTGGGCATCTTCTCGGCTCGGCACGCTATCATCATCCTGGTCGGACCGGACGTGTTCCCTTTCGCGGCCGTGCTGCAGAGCATACTCATCAGGTGAGACGAGAGACGAGGCGACGCTGTCAGTTTGCCCGGCACAGACGGGAGGTCGAGCAGATATTAATGGTGGTGATAGTCTTCGCATCATGGGCGTATTCACTACTAAGCTTATTTTGCGCCCGTACCATCATTCTTTGTTGTGTGCGAGTTATACCAGTGTAACAACTGGTGTACCGAGAAGGATTGACCGACTCGGTGGAGTGCTGATGGTTCTCATGTTGGCAGGTATCGGTCCGAAATTGTGCCGTGTCCCAACTGCGCCTGCGAGTTCAAGATGCAGCTGCCCAGCTCATTCATGAACATTCGGAAGGTGAGAACATGCATATTGCATAGGTAAACGCTAAAACGTTCCCCTTGACTGCGCTCGCTAAGTGCGTGCAGTACGGCACGAGTATGAATATGCTCCGTCTTCCCAGGTGGATTTTGTGTGGGTGAACTCGGACATGGAGGGGTACGAATGGTTCCTCGAGCTGCTCGAAGACATGGACCACTACCAGAGGCACAGGAACCTGCTCGAGAACTTCCTCGAGTTCTACCTCTTCAAGACGGGCATCAAGCCCATGCCGTCGTTTACGCCGCTCAGAAGGCAGCTGCGACAGGGCCGGCCGAGATGGAACGAGGTCAGTCGCAAGCCAGACTGGAGTGGATGGGCGATAGATTTGTGCACCACTGTCCACTTCCTTCGGAGACTAGTTGTGTGTGGGCCACCATGGCACATTGAGGAAAAACGCGACATGCACCTAAATCATGGAAAACAACGAGAGAATAGTAGCGATGGTTCAATAGAGCGCCGTGACGATCATATTGCACCAGTTTTTATCAAAGAGTTTAAACTGGTGCAATTTTTATCAAAGGATAAAAATTGCATGTTGCAAAAATTGCAAATTGCATTGCATGTTACTCCAATCTTCAGATTAAACGCTCCCCGCCCTCTGCCGACAGGTACTGGACGAGATAGTCGGCAAGAGTAGCGGCGGTGTCGAGGTGTTCTTCTCCGGTCCGCGCACAGTCCGCAAGGTGGTGCAAAAGGCCTGCACTCAGGCTGGTCTGGTGTTCAACTGCACCAACTTCTGAGGGCCTCGGCACCAGCGGTGGTGACCAGTCGCCTGCGGTGTACCCGACACCGGCGTTGGTGACCGGCCGCGCGACGGAGCGCGGGGTGACGGGGAGGAAGGGTCGACTGTGGAGTTGTCGTCGGACGGGCTGGCGACTAGTCGTGTCAGTGTGTTGTGAATGTGATCGCGTGTACACAATGAAACAGGCGTTAGAGCTTTATTGTATAAAGAGCATTTAAAAAAGAAACACAAAAACCGCCTCCGCATTGCCAGAGAAAGTTGCCGGTCGGTCCCATATCAAGCACACCTGTACGGTGTACACCGAAAGAAACATGCTACTCTGTATAAACTTCAAAACTATGCAAAACGAGCAACACAGCCAACTCAAGTTCATGAAGATCTCTTGAGGCATTTCAGCAATAAGATATTTATGAGAAGGTCTTCAGCAAAGAAACCTTTCGGTGACACCGTGTCTCTCCTTCATTTCGATGTTATTTCTATCTACATTGCATCCAGGACGTACCTTTGCTTTAAGCTATCCCATTTCGATCCTCTGGCGTGCCAAGAGCAGCAGTGTCGGGTTCATCGCCGGCTCACATCCAACGGGCGTCCGTCACAGCGCGCTGCCGGCCGCGCGCCGCACCATCGCACCGCGACACACTCACTCGCGCGCGGAGCAGACACAGCGGGCGGGCCGGGCCCGTCCCCACTCACTGGGCGTTCGGCCGGCCGCCGGACAGACGGGAGGACGGAGCGGCGGTCCGGCCCCAGTCACCAGCCGCCGTCCGGCCAGCGCCAGCCGGCCGCGCCCGGTCACGACTTCCAAAAGTTGGGGTTCATCTCGAGCCGGCGCTGGAAGTTGTCGTACCAGCGCTGCACCACGCTCAACGGCACATAGCTCTCGTTGGGAGCCACCGCCATCTGCGCCGGCGTCACGCTGAAGCTGGTCGCGTAGTTGACAAAGTTCTGCAGCATCTTCTGGACGAATTCGACAAACGACGGCACGGTGGAGGGCTCGGCGGCGGCAGGCGTCAGGCCCGCCACCTGCACCTCCGGCTCGACGGCGATGCCCACCTGGGCATTGTGCGAGAACTGCTGAACCAGGCCGGACGGTACGGTGGCGGCGCCGCTGCCGTGCTTCAGCGACGCCACCTTGAACACGGCCGACGGCTTGCTGTTGGAGAGGAAGCCCAGGTAGATCCAGGTGGGCGGAGAGTTGGGCTCCGGCCAGCTGAAGTACACTGGGGGGAGGGGGAGAGAACAGGGCGCGAGCAGTCAGCGAACTGCGCAACAGTTACACGTCGACCAACACGTCACAGTTTACACAAGAAGGGTTAAATAACTGGATACTTTTCATGTGAGAGCTGTTATATTTTCATTATATGCGATGAAAACGAAAACATAGTCAATACTGGGCACTGAAAGGGGTACAAATGCCCCGAATGCCATCCCGGGGCCCCTGATCCACCAGTGGCCGTGCAGATAAGCAAACGCAACCTGTAACGTTCTGACAACCCACTGACACAGTTCCGTGTCAGATTTAAACCCCTCCCATATCCCTGCCACCCACTTTCCAGCTACCGATCACATTATACTGCACAGTGCACGCCATTTAGCAAATCAAATACATGGTAACGCATCCCCCAGCGACCCGAACAGCTCCCACCCGCACCCGCCATCAGCTCAGCCACCGGTGACCGGGCCGCGCTGCCCTCACCTCCGGCGGCCGTGTTGTCCGGCAGCGGCTGTGAGCCCGTCAGGAACACGATGATGTGCCGGATGTTGTCCGCCTCGGGCACATTGATGACAAAGTGGGTCTCATCGACCGCCTGGAAATCGGTGCTGACCAGCCGGCCGGCCACTATCATACCAAACACGGAGACAGACATCGCTCACTTCTGATGATCTCACATTCACACCATTACCTGTGAAAAGTGAGCATGTTTATTACAATAAAATGAATATAGGATTCCAACATATACGTAGACAATGTACTTGGACTTGATTCTTTAAAAAGTTTCCTACTCGAACTATATTTCAAAAGGTAATAAACTAATTTATCCATAACTACAGTGACTCATGACAGGCATTTTGACAGCAAAGCAAAGTAAAAAAGGTTCGTTTTTTTATAAATTTAATCCTAACCTTTCGAATGGAAATATTCACAAGGACAGAGCCCCCGCTAAGCAGATCTAATTGCGTTGGCCCTGCTCTCCACCCTCCCATCGCTCAATGCCTGTCTATGGCAGAATTTAGTCCAAATTTAACGTACGCACACAGCCGCGTACGGCCGGTCCCCTTACTGACTTCAGCTGGCTACGGCCTGCCACCAACGGGGCAGGGGCGGCGCCACTGATTTTGAATGGGGTGGGGGGAGACAAGGACTTGAGATAGTGAAGCATTACCGTCGCCACGCGAGGTAGGGCAAGCGGGACAACTTGCCCCGAGATTGGTCGGAAAAAAAATGGAGCTGTTTTTTTTTCTGAGAATGGATGTGAATTCGAGATCCGAGTCGACAGTGCTAGTCAGTAGCATCCCAATGACATGGATGGATATGTGTTGCTTGCGTTGCCCGGCGGTTGCCACCATGTTCCGGTGCCACTGCCTAGTGCCTGCCGGCTACCCACATGGAAAGTTTCAGTACAATCGCCTAAATAATGAATCTGAACGAATGAATAAGTGAATGTGGAATAGTTCTGAATGTTACCAGATGCTGTGAATGTGCACTCACAGCGTCAGCATTTGGTTAGATTGTGCCCTAGATCCGGCACACCACTTCTTCAACTTCCATTGGTGCCCTCTGGTGATACTTCTGGACTCTGGTCGCTTGGCCAAAGAAGATTTCAAGATTGCTATTTGCTGGGTGAATGTCGATGCCAGCATAGAAGATCTAGCTGGTACGCCAGAATCATATCGCCTCTTCTACAACAATAATACAATGATGGTAGGTTCAGGAGCTGAAGTCTCTCTGTGTATTTTCTGTGTCTGATGCTTTGGGCAAGCTATGCCCAGGTTGTGGTTTGCAAGTTGCATGACTGAAATTTGTAAATTGAAATGCACAACTGAATCGGGCTAGTGGTCAGAAGAGGTCCTGTGCACACTGCACACCTTAGACCTCTGCCACATTTTGCAGTTTGAATGAGGCTGTCATCATAAATAAATTTGAGCCGGTCCCGTAGCTCAGTTGGTAGAGCGTTGGACTCCGCGTGGTGAGAGCACGCGTTCCCGGTTATAACAGTCCGGGTTCGACGACGGGCGCTTGACATTTATGGGCCTCCTGACAGGTATGGTTGCGGTTGGTGGCAGGCCGTAGCCAGGCGAAGTCAGTGAGGGGACCGGCCGTGCGCGGCTATGTGCGCACGTTTAACTTTGGACTCTAAATTCTGCCATAGAACTGGAATTGCGCGATCGGAGGGTAGAGGGCAGGGTCATCACAACAAGCTTCGCTTAGCGGTGGCTCTGTCCTTGTGAATCCTTCCCATCAAAAGGTTCGGACTAAAGTTATTTAAAAAAAGTTGCAAATATAACTCGAGCCATCAGCCAGATACTGCTTCCCGTTGCGATGAAAATACACACTCTTATTGAAAATACGTCCTCGGGCTCCTTTTTTACTCTTAATCGGCTCAGAATCAGGGATAAAATACGCAGCGCGCTGGCTCCTTAGTTTATAATAATGGCCTCTGGCCTCAAGGCTCAACATAAAAAATGCAGTGGTCAATCTAATCAAGGCTCCTAGCAAGGCTATATCATGCAACCCTTGGCATGCGCTGCAAATAATGTTCGATTGCGTCCGTGACTTTGTAAACTGGTGGCGTCGACAGTAAATCCTCGAATGCGAGCATGATATTTGCCTATTTCTGCCTACCGACAGCTAAAAATACCAAAACAGAACACAACAATTTTGACTAGCCAGAGACAAACCTGAAAGACATGAGACCACTAAAATCCATCGACCAAATCTTGGCTACACGGCTTCGCCTTCGACTGGCTTCGACACCAAGGCTTCGACATATAGGGCCTTGGCTTCGACGGCCTTGCAAATCCAGGGTATAACAAATCCAAGACTCGACCAAGGCAATCTTCTACCACCTGTAAGTCAATATACCCTGCTACCAGTTACCACCTCAGTTGGGCAAACTAGGCGGCGGGAATCAAAATATGGAGGCATCAAAATATTGATTCTAGTGGGCGGAGCTTTGACCATATATGGGCATACGTGCAGACCATCACAGAAACGTCAATTCTTCAGCAACCGGCTATAATTTCAAGATAATTTTTTCACAAAATGAAGAACAATGTTGAAGCTACCCGCCAGGCACGAAACAATAGCCCTAACCTCTTTGGTTAGTTTAGGAAAGCGTCTTGAAAATAATCAAGATATTGATTCATCACGGCGGCTTATCCCGGCGAGAATCAATATTTTGATTCTGCAAACAGCTGGCTAATCATTATTTTGATTCTGAAATCAGCTGGCTTATCAATATATTGATTCTGCGATCTGACTTTCTGCAGACGTAGTTCACTCTTCAAATTGATTTATGGAATGTTTCTTGCGTGCAAATAATGCAAATTCAATAAATTCATGAAGATATTATCAGCACAGGATCGTGTAATTTTTTCTAGACCTTATTCCCACGGTAGACCAGGGATTTTCAGCACTCACCCTGGCTCCCTGCTCAAAGCTGCAAGCCTTCGAGGGAATGCGTGAAGGGAGCCGTGCTGACCTTTGAATAGGGGTTGTACACCCTGGGTTGTACTGAGTCGGAGCCGGAACCGAAGCCCGACCAAGCCCGACCATTTTACTCGGAGCCGGAGCCGGAGCTGGAGCCGATTTTTTCCTCCGGAGCCGAAGCCGTCTGACATTCTCACGACTCTACATCCCTGCTTTGTAGCATTGATTTTGAGTAAAGGGCTGCGGTCATAGCCTAGTTGTCACATTAGGCGCCAGAAACATACACAGTAGCATAGACCGAAGTCACAATAGCGTGCCGCTGAGGCGACTGCGGACAGATATTAGTGTCACTGGCTGTGACTGCGGCGAGTGTCCCGAGCCGTGGATCTCCCCGGTGCACGATACCTGTGAGTGCAACGATGATGGCGGCGCTGTCCATGGTAAAAACCGGGTAAGGTGTTTCACACGACTCGATTCGACGCTGTCAGGATGATTGGGGTAGCCAATGGCGCTAGTTGCCACGTTCGTCGCTCTAACTTATCGTCTTTCACGTGTTCATGAATGTGTTTCTACGCATCTGTATCCCGTCCCATTTCTGTGGAGTACAGTAAGAGATTTTTCGCCGAAGAATATACTCAAGCCCGTTGCACAAATTGCACAATTTGAATGATAATATGATACACGGATGTATTTACAGTCGCAAATAATACGATGATATTCATAACATATTTCACAACGATCCCTGCAATTGCCACACATTTGCCATCACAAAGCCCTGTCGTTGATGCTCACATCCCATGCAAAGCAATACTCACTTTTAGGACACGTCTCTTATTCAATATGGCTACGTATTTGCAAAACATGCAGTTAATAATATTTGAAACTGAGACCTAACCAATAAGACATACCGTGGACAGGTAAGAAAAAACAAATAAACGTCTGGAGAATGACCTCAACGTCTTGATGTTGCCTAATTACAAAGAGCCATTTTCGGTTTCGAATCAAATACATGAAATAAATATAAACAAAATTTGTACAGATACACTCAATATAGGGTTTATGATTAGCACGGCTACCTAAAACATCAATCCTGTCAGGTTGAGCCACTTATGTCCACACCCAAAGCAGGTCGCTTTGGAACACCACAAGATCCCATATTACCACCGAAAACGGTCACCAAGTGGTCTACTGATCAGCATCTTCAGAACATTCTCGACCGAAAAGCTATCAGTCCTGTCTGTGTTTTGGTTCGCTTCATTTGGGCTATGCGCACGTTTTTCTATTCCGGTTCTAGGGACGAGATAGCAGTCATCACGCGCTGCACCAGCTCGTTCTTTGACAGGTTGGTGACGCTGTCGTCATCCGGCAGGATAAACACGTGGCGCATTTCACCCTCGGCCCCGCCAGCCACATACACACTTCCTTGATGATGATGATGAATTGGGGTTTTTAGGCGCCCGGACTACAGTGGTCATCGGCGCCCATATACACACTTCCTTACGTCATATTGTTTCTCGCAACGAGATTAAAGTTCAAAAGGTCGTGATGTAGGTAGTCTCCGCCCAGCCCGAGTCAGGTACTCCACCGGTTGGTCGGGTGCGGCCAGGTCCGCGTAACGCCGCCCTACTTCGGTCGACGCTCTGGTTGACAGGGATGGCGTTGTCATACAGTTGCCTGTCGACTGAACAGCGATTCAAGACGCCATCCTTGACCCTCTGAAGCTAATCCCCGCAACAACCAGTGTTCGATCCTTGGTTGACCTGCAGCAAACAACAGAACACAATAATTAGGACATTTGTGGACAATAAATTAGGAAACTTTGTGTTATTATTCTACTTGTTCAGCAACTATTAATTTTAAAATATACTCAATAAAAAATTAAGTACTTAATGTCACTTAAATTTCCACTGAACTCCACCAGGTGCGCCAACAACTGTCATCTCATGCAGTTATATAAATTCTGCCAAAAAAGTAGATCTGAGGCCAGTTGTACCAACAGAAAAATAGGTGGCTGCTGGATTTTTTTTTGTCTAAAAGTTACTTCACATACAGAGCATGAACGGTACAGCCCTATCCGTTTACGTGCCCATCATGTTAACGCTCCATATGTGAAGCAGTCTTAAGGCAAAAAAATTCCAGCAGGCAGCTATTTGTGTTGATAAAACTGGCCTCTAAAATTAACTTTGGCATGGACAATCCTGAACATTAACTATCCAGCATTCCCTGGACTGACGTACATTAGACACATAATTTTCTGGAAGATCACGCATAATGTAAATATGGCTTACACCATTCAGCAACTTGCTTTTGTTACACTTAAAATAAGCATCATTAAATAAGTAGCAAAAATGGGCGAAGCAATTACAAGCCAAGCTTACATACCTACTATTTAGATAAGGCACACACGAACATGCACTACAACCTTTCAATCTTAACTCGGAACAAGTCAATAACCTAGTTGCCCTTAAATTCAAATGCTACAAATTAAAGTTGTAGCAACAATTGGGTGAGTGAGACACAAGCAGAGGCCAAAATATCCAAATTATGTAAAATACTGGACATGCACTGCCCCCATTTCATGAGTCCACCCAACAATTCTATCATGCGAGACAAAACATTAGGCTTCTTGTAACTAATTTATACCGTAACTTTTAAAGGACATCATATTTCACTGAAATACTACACCTAAGACATCATTTTCAAAAAAAATAGAGCTTAAAAAGACAATAGAAGAGTGAGAAGGCGTCCCGCGCCGCTGACGTCGCTACCGCGCCATGTTCCTAAAACCATCTCTTAAAACGAGTTTTCGGTAAGAAACGTTAAGATCACATGCCTGAAATTGAAAAACACACTTCAAAGTATCTAAAAATATGATCCATTGTTACTTACACTTCAGAAAAGGTCGCTTAAACAAAATAAAACCGGGAGCACTACGTTGCACCCGAACACCCACGACGCCGGCGCGAAATGGCGGGAACCGGAAATCGTGGCTAGATACTAAGAAAAAGAATATTTCTTATAAATGAATTATACAACTAAATAACGCATTTTTTATTTTCTTTTAGACAAAATTATGAAAAAATTACAAAGGCTCGTCGTTAATGATAAACAGAGCAAGTTTTAACAGCACGTTTTTGTTGAATTATGGCGGCGAAATCTTTATGCCATTCGTAAAGGTACGCGCGACAAACGGCTGATAGCCATGCAGCGAAAAATTGAAGCCGGGAAGATTTTTGTATTGACTTGTCAAAAAATCTCGCCGTCATGGGGGTTATTTCCGCCGTAACGGGTCGTCTGAAGGTGGGAATGTCCCAAATTGAATCAAAATATTGATTCTATGCCCATATATGGTCAAAGCTCCGCCCACTAGAATCAATATTTTGATGCCTCCATATTTTGATTCCCGCCGCCTAGTTTGCCCAACTGACCTATTTATATACACTGTGCTACCACCCAGCTACCACCCTCTGCTCTGTTCTTGCCCCCTCACCCTGAAGCTGAGGTAAAAGTTTTGTGATTTTACATGTCAGGTCAACATTCAACAAGATGGTGAACGTAGACCATTTTTCTTGACTAAATTTGCCCTAAATGGTGTCATAGAATTTTTTTTATCTAACCTAACCTTCAACCTGCAAACAACCTGAGCCTACTACAACCTTCACCATTGCAGTTTCTTGCCTTTATAAAACATGTACGGGGTCGGGGACCTGCAGTTGCTACTGTACACGAGCCCCAACTCTAGCCGTCTGTCCTGCCCAGTAACAACCGATAACATTGACATCGACTGCCGGTCCCTGTACAAGAATAGCTGAGGTCTTCTGTACTTGCCTTCTGACAGCAGATTGTTGTTCCCTGTGAGGGTGCTGAGACAATTTACTCAGGGTCGCTGTACAGTAGCAACTGTGGGTCCCCGTACCCACATTGACGTCTACGCCAGCCTTACCTATACCAATACGGCTATAGGCACCTTCCAAGGAAGGATGTTTTTTCCTTTCATGTTTTTATTTGACGAATTACTACCTTAAAATTGTGCTACTTTAAATGAAAAAAAAACTGAAGTATCGCCTTACCTACAGTTTTTAGAGAGTGCTAATTGCAAAAGGTAGCTGAAGCCAAAGTTTGAGCTGTCCATCCTCAATGCTGAATGTTCAATGTTGGTTCAATGATGTGCCCCGAGCTGAACAGCAGTTGTTATGCAGGCATCACTTCTGCTGTGTATATTTCAAGTTCCAAAGGTGGTGTGACAGGCTGTGGCCCTGTCCCAGGTGGTGTCAGCTTATGACACAAATACCTATTGTCAAAGGAAAAATACCACTTTGAACATGGGGTTTGAGCTGAAATAACAGTTACATACAAGCTGAGACTAGCACAAATCACTTGCTTTTTATTATCTAACGATCGCCCCAGGCAAAGATTTCCATTTCTCATTCTGAAATCATTCCCTTACACAGGAATGTATTCTGTTATGGAAGAATGCCAGCAGGAATGCAGCCGCTTGTGAGTTGTGGCAGAGGCCAATGGTCAGCCAATCAGCATGCAGTTATTAATTTGAACCAGGAAATGGTCAACCATTCGCACATGTAGTAGCACAACCAAAAGATTCTGTTCTAGGCATCCATTTTTTGTTGTTGCAGGGCTCAGAAATGAAGGCATAAGGAAGCTGCTGCTCATCTGAAAACATGCAACCAAGAATGACATTATCACCCATCTTCCTTGCACTTTTTCTACTACCATCACCCGAAAGCTGGTATGTCGGCCTTGTCGGCTCCAGTGCAGATGATGGAAGCGCGACCTTCAGGGACCCGACGTTCCAGTTCCGTACTGAGAGCGACGGCGTGGTCATCACGGCGACGGCCGAGCCGGGGCTGTTGGAGCAGCAGCCGTTTGTCGAGCTGGATACGGAGGATATGTCCGACAGCGGCTTCTGCATCCCGCTCTCCGTGGCACCGCCCGCCAGCAACGCCAGCGGCGGCGGCGAGCTGGCCGTCCTCTCAACGGCACCGGAGCGCCTACCGCTGAACAACTACTGCGCGCGAATCGCCTGCCCGTGCGGCTCCAATATGTGGTGCACTCTCCGGCCCAGGTACTGCGCAAAGTACCACAAGGTCGGGGACGACCTGCGGGCGTGGAAGAATGACACTCGAGTGTACGCAGAGCGCATCGGCGACGCGGCAGACGGCCCGGCCGTCTCTGTGGTCGTACGTCAGGGAAAGCTGCGGTGAGTGCGACACACTGTGTGGAATTGGATGGGACAGGGTGGTTTTGATGCCATTGGTCATGATGTGTCCGATATATGTAGGAATATAGAAATATAGGATATAGGAACCGGGACAGGGTGAGTCCGGAACAGTGAGGGGACCGGCCGTGCGCGGCTACCTATGTGCGCACGTTTAACTTTGGATTCCAAATTCTGTCATAGAACCGGAATTGCGCGATCGGAGGGTATAGGGCAGGGTCAGCGCAACAAGCTTCGCTTAGCAGGGTCTCTGTCCTTGTGAATCCTTCTTTCCAAAGATTTCGGACTAAATTTTTACATAGAAAAATAAACCATGGTAACGTTGACTTAATACAAGTGAATTTGAAATTTTGGTTCAAGTCGGTACGGATGGATCTTTCCGTACATTTCACATGGTTGCAAGTTGTAACCAGAGTGACAGAGATAACTTTCATTTGTATGCGGTCGTGTGTCATAAAGGGCTTATGAGTTATGCCACTCCAAATTTAGTTTTTGAGACACATATTACAAAGACCATCAAAACACAAAAGGAGCAAAACAATCGTTTGGACCCACATTCAAGTGGGACCTGTTTAAGTGTGTAGTTGCGCAGACCGGATTTGCGATAGGCCGCTCACCGGATCGTAGGCGCCGGACGCCTGGTGGCGGTGGCGGTAGCGCCGGACCGGTGGCGGCTGTCCGCAGTGCTTCCGTCCCCACGACCGAACTAGGGGAGGGGAAGCGGCACACTTGTGCGGCACTGGTTAGTTGTGTGCAACGTGTATTAGCAGAACCTCGCCTGCGGCCTTGAACGGAATCGATTGTATGTCTCGCTGGTGTACAGTCGTACAGTGAAGCGACAAAAGTAAATGAAACAATGCATGCTTCCAACTTCCAAGAGTTCATTGACTGAGCTTTCGACTGGACATACCATCCCCGCTAACTGAGTCGTTATTATTATGTTTCGGCGGCAGATTCCCTCGACTACTCATCGAACACGATGGCTGTCCGCCCGACACGAAGATAGCCCGGCAAGGTGCGCCGGACAGGAAAATAACCCGGCGAGAAGTGCCTGCTGACGAGCCGTACTTTCTGCACGAGGACTGCACGCTCACTGATAACCGGAACATCACTGTGTGGGTAGGTGCCTTGGCTAGGGTGTTCCTCTTAATGGTACTCTGACCCGGGTCTGACTTATGCACGCCCACTCTTAGTAGGTGTCATTGTATGGTTACCGGTGCGGAAGTCCGTTAATAATTCTGGATAAAAAGAAGGGGACCATTCGATGCCTCCTCCCCTACGAATGCGAGGGTTAATGGTTAAGTGCCCACCATAGGACATGAACAATACAAATGAAGTGTTTGGTGTAGCACCAGTATTATACTGGTGTACCAGTATTATAGTATAACGCCTTTTGGGGCGACTAACGGAGCGAGCGAGAGGGTGGGCCTTGCACGTGCGAAATTTCGAGGGGGTACCTCCAACTGAATTGTGCACGGCACCTTACTAACTGGTCTCTAGCGATGTGCCAAATTTGAGCACGATCGGCCCAGCCGTTCTCGAGATCTGGAAGCGGCACCCTGCACGTGCGCACGTGCAAAATGGGTCCCAACTGACTTATGCACGGCACCCTACTAACTGGTCCCTAACCGTGTACCAAATCTGAGCGCCATCGGTCCAGCCGTTCTCGAGATCTGGAAACGACCCCTGCACGTGCGCACGTGCAGCAGCACCCCAACTCTGGCACATGGATATGCAGTGCCTAGTAGGTGCCTACCTACATGCCAATTTTCAGCGCAATCGGCCAAGTAGTTACCGAAGTATTGCAACAATTACAAAACTGACACCTCTTCGTTTTGCACGTGGCACGTGCATAAGGGGTCACCCACGTGCATCGGGAATAGTCCAATACTTGGTAGAAGGAATGAAGCTACCCTACAAAAATTACCGCGTGTAAATCGGTCAAGTGGTTGCTGAGATATAAGCCTCGCAAAAGCGTCCGCACGGCCGGCCGGCCGGCCGCTCATACTCAGAAATTTCCGTTAATCTAAGGAAAGACTACGCTCGCTTCGCTCGCTCCGTAATAATGCAAATGTACTTATACTTCATTATCCGTCAACGATATCGCCTTCCTCAGCAATGGCTCGTTGACCAGCGCTTTCACTTTAAAAGAGCATTCACTTTCTTTACTTCGCTGCTTTCGCTTCCCACGGTGACCCAGTGACTTTTTCATGGAAAATATGCTCTTTTTACCACAGGTGGAGCCAGGCACCAGGTTCTGCAACTTCTCGCCCAACTGCCGCAACGCCAAGGTGACGATTGACGCGCGGGCCTTGGGCCGCCTGCCGCCGCCGACGCCGCCTCTGTCAGTGCGCTCGGCGGGCCCGTCCACCCTTCTGACTGTGGGCCTGCCGCTGCTGGCCCTCGCCACGCTGCTCGCCGTCGCCGCCGGCCTCCTCTTTCTGCGGCGCAAACACCGGCGCGCACTCGGCGGCTTCATGGCCACATCACAGGAGAACGGCGGCTTCGGCCTCGAGCTGAGTGGACCGCGCGTGCTGCTGCTGCACCTGGCGCGCTCGGACGCCGAGCGGGCCGCCCTGCGCCAGCTGACGGCCGAGCTGCGGCTCCGCGGCGCCTCTGTCGTCGACAGTGACGCGCCCGAGTGGCGGCGGGCGGCGCGACGCGACGCCGCCGCGCTGGCGTCGGCCGTGGCGGCCGCCGACCGCGTGCTGCTGCTGAGCTCGTCGGCGCTGGCGGCGGCCGTGGCGGCCGGCGGCGGCGGCGAGCCCGAGCGGCTGGTGGCGGCGGCGGCGCGCCAAGTGTCGGCCGGCCGGCTGACGGTCGACTACGGCCGACTGTACCAGGCGCGGCTGGCCGCCGACGCGCCCACGTTGGACTCGCTGGTGCCCGGCGCCGCCTACACGCTGCCCGAGCACCAGCGGGAGCTGGTGACCGCCCTGCTGGCCGGCACCAACCGCACCAAACCCGCCTCCGACAGTGCCGCAACCGATACTATACTCACCTCCAACTAGGCGCGCCTGCGACTATCACACGTCCTCCGCTGAGGACTGAGGAACGAACGTACGTAGACCGGCATCCACACGTCTCTGGACCATGGTTACGGAGGGATCTGACAACTGTTAGCTCTCGGTGACCGGTAAGTAGCTACAACGCTGTACAAGTATAAGAGCTTCATCGCTGTAAGTTACGATATCCAACAGGTTAGGCTCGCGGCTACCCTGTAGAGCCGGCTTGGTGCGCCCTAATGAAACTGAAAAAAGAACAATAGCTTCAACAGATGAGATAAACGTGAAATTTGTTTTTTCCCCGATGTGAATGTCGTTATTGTGTGACACTGCTTTCGGAACTTGCTCACATGGAAGGAAGGGGCGCCGTACGTCGTTGCCTGTAGCAACGGACCTACGAGATTGGCGACGACGGACGAACTTACCCGACTCTTCGGTTAGGTGTCTGCTCAGACCGATTGACGTCTCTCTACGTCCCGGATAACTACGTGAGTCAGTGCCTTATCCAATGGGACACATGGGCATACCTGAGAACTGTGCGCTTTCATGGTATTTGTAACGGATATTGTGCGCCGCACATGTAGTCATTTTAGCGTGTATACTGTATGCGATGCCACACATACAAATATAGAGTAGCGAGCAGCCAATGCTCAGTGCGCGCGCGTTATTAGTTATTACTCGCAAGAGATCTGTCATTTACCCACCGTTAAGATCTGATACAGATCCATATCAATGTCACCGCGCTTTCGACTGTTACACCGCCAAGTGTTAGAGACACTGAATGTCAATGTAACAGGCAAACAAACTGGACGCTATGTATGAACATTGAACACGTTTTAGCCTTCTGCCTCCCATGTTTGCTCCCTTAGCGTAAGTCTGCTTTGGCCCTTTTTAGCGTAAGTCCCCGTAGTTATTGCGAGGTCGCGTCCCTGATGTGTCTTCTTACAGTCAAGTTTGCCTACTAGCACTGACGCGTTGGTGCATTTTGCATACTGACACGGGTCATGTGACGCAGGATGGCTATTTGTATACTGTTTGATAGTGTTTTTTTATTGCGGGTGCTAACGACAGGCGTTACGTACCCAATATGTGGCGCTGCTCTTGATTCGAAGGCTCCTGCCTACGTGATTAGCGATAGCAGTGTGCGCGCTTTTGCATGTAATGCCTTGTGTATGTGAACTTTGAGTGACCTGATTTGCCTTAGAGGCGGCACACTGACGGGTCTTGGCCGGCAGAATGGCGGGATGCTCGGCCGCCGCCGGGTCGTGACGCTACATACGGGGGATCCCCGCGAGGTACTGTGTCCCGCACCGTGTGACACCGAGATGGTGTGTTTTTACTGGAGCTTCCGCGGGGCTGTGCTGTGTGTGCCGCACACCGGATTATTGTTTATATTGTAAACTGGTCACATGCATTAGCTCGTAGTTGGCGCCGTAATGTTTATCAGCGCGCTTGGGCCGTGGTTAGCACGTTGCGATAGTGACGCTCAGCTTAGTTTTACAGTGGCATTGGACCGATAGTTACCGACAATGCTTTATTAGGGCATGACCGATAGTGGTAAGCTGCTTCATGTGCACTGTGCAGTGCGAGACTGGCTATTACTTTTGCACAGGACTTGTAGGGTGCCGCTTTACTCACGTGTTCCAGCGTATTTCACGTTTCACGAGCTTACGTCACATGTTGCTCTCGATCGTACGAGACTGTGATTCGCTTGATTCTCGGCCGATTTCAGCTCGCTACGTAAATTTCCCCTTAGCTATCATTACAGGGTCTGCGCCCATGGTACGTGAACTTTTTCAGTGCTTCGTCAAAATGTTGCGTATGCCTATTTCAAACCAACCTGCGGTTACCTATATCTCCAATTGTGTTTGCTGAAGACAAGTAAAGGCGGCGGGCGCTTGGTCCGTTAGTATTACACTCCAATAATAGGATCCAGGTCTGATTAATTGAATCTTGCCAGGGCGTGACAACTGCCATGCAACGTGCGATGGGTGGAAATGAAGTGATCTGGTCTGGTGATATGAACGAGGCTGTTCTGCCCATTAGTGGGCGAACCGAGCCGATGCTGTATTGGCTGTGGCCCGGTGACTTCGGAATGCAGTGGTGCTGTGGCGCACAGGGTCTGTGGGCCGTGGTCTGTCGGCGCTGTGAGGTCACTCACACAGGGTCTCCCATCGCTGTGAGCCGGGGGTGGTTAGGACGCCGGGCTAGGCTGTGGAAAGGAGACAGTCGGTGCCTCATTGTTAAAGAGTCACGTTAGCGACGTGTCATGTGCAGATGTTTTGGTAAGCAATACATGTTTTTTCGCTTTGATGTTGTGTCTCGCACTTTGCAAAAGAAAATCGTCAATGGGAAGGGACTAGGGACAGCAGGCAAGTTTTCATCTGCCTGCACCGTTCGACCGCGGCAGTCGAGTCACGCTGGATCAACTGGTCGCACGATTCAGAATGTCATTTATGCATGATGTAGCTACGAGTCGCGATTCGAGAGTCGATCCGCGTGTCGTCACTGTCTTGGGAGTCGCCGTCAGTGGATCAGAAGAAATGCGGTGGCTTTCCCCTCTCTCTGTCAGAGATTGTGAAATCCCTGAGTGACCTTCGCGCATAGCATCGTTGGATTAGTATCACAGCTCAATGTGTATGCAAAAGACAGTGTCTAAAACCAAACTACATCACATCCAGAGAAATGGGTTCGAAAAAGACATGTATTGAAGACCAAGGCACAATGGGTCGCAGTGAGTGATGCCGGATAAACACCTATAAAATCGGTTCGGTCTACAGAGAGCCATACAAAGCGTGTCAGGAAGCATGAACGGTACACTAACCACTAATACACCATCACCAATGCACAACCCAGAACATCAGCGTACGGCACGAGGTGGTGACTGGGCGGACGGCTGGACAACTGTCCGCAGCGTCGTGAGCAACATTGATTTGTGGGGTCCTGTCGCCTTCTAGGACCGAGACCAGACCTAATCAGGTGGTCACTACTGTCAATAGTTGAAAAAACACAACATCCACCAGGTCACATCCTAGGGTGCCAACGGGCGCCTATAGTTGAGTATATGAGCCTATCACCAAGAGGAGCCGTTCCGTACGATATGAACCGGTGAGAACAACACGAGCATAGCACAGGCCGCCGTCTCCCCGAGATTAAAGCACTGCGGGACGAGACGGCGAACAAGAACAAGACGCCACGTCTGAGGAACGGCGTGCGCGACCGCGATTAACCCGAAAAACGGTTAGCAGTCTAAAAACAGCAGTCTACATATTTAGGAGAGGAATAACCATGGTTCAGCTACCAGAAAAAGGACGTCTAAGGACCAGTAACGAGAGACGACCACAATACATATAGTCCGAGGAGGGACAGTATCCCGGCAACAGAGGGACGAGAGAGAGAGAGAGAGAGAGAGAGACCCACTCCCAGTCCCGGAGACAGAACACGGTTCATCCTCGGAGAGAGTGGCACCAATCCGGAGGGTGACACCAATCGAGAGGGCGACACCAATCCAGCCACAGAGAGAGGTCATACAGACACTGGCAGGCGGCGGTAATCGCACATAAACAGACAAAGCGGAAGTCACAAACACCGGGCAGCACAGAGAGGAAGAACTGACACACAGAGTAATTATGTGATAGCTATAACGGCATACAAACATCGCGAACTGACCATAATCGCAGGCACAACGCGGACAGACGTCCATCAGTCGATAAGCACAAGTAAATACGCATCACAAATGATGTCCCTTTTCGCTCAGAACTGTAATCCGTTCGTAATATGCATTTACTCTGCTCATGTATCCCCGGTAATTATATCACCCGATAGATGAGCTATGGACTGGGCAGTGGAGAGTGTGGCAGCAGTCATCTGCCCAGTCTCTGGCTTAGCTATCACTTTTCACGGCAGTTAAACGGGGCGGGTCGGCTCAGCCGGCGTGGTGAGACTGGAGTTAGGTAGTTAGCAAACAGAACACACAGAACATTGGATAAGCACCGGAACGATAGGCCAAAGTCGACGACGCTCAGAGCCGGGCGCGAAACAGCGTTCACCATGCAACCCCAACACTGCATCGTGAGTGAACACGAGAGGAACAAACAGCACAGACTCCACTGAGGGATAGTTACTTATGTGGCACAGGTGTCCAACATATTTTGATTTAACTGACAGTTTACATATCAACTGAAGATCATATATCATGGCTCAAGACACACCGGCGTACCTCAATAAAAGCAAACACCCCTTTTGATTTAATGTCATTATTATGTCATGATGAAATGTCATTTTAATGAAACTGATAAATCAGGTACCACGTGAGAAGTCATGAGATTCATCGCGACAACCTCATAATCATTCCATGGTCACCGCTGATCATTTGAACTGTATGTGTAATATGTCTATCGAAATCACGATCAGTATATAAGAAAAAAAAAAGTTCTTAATCTTAACATGATTTTGCACAGTAATGTCTATGGATTTAATAGTGAGACCAATATAACGGCGTATTTGGCTTGGAAATGAATCATGAATGGATATCACCAAATGCTCAGGTACCACACTAGCCATTAAAGTCGGGTACCGAAGCGTCTAGCCCTGTCATACAGACCACGGCATGCACCGACAACACTCAAAACTGAACTAAAAATACGTTAGTAAATTATGTCTTATATAAAAATATGCTAGCTAATGCTGGAACATAAAAAGACCCCAACGCACCTTTGGTTAGCCGAATATCATAAAACAACGCACCGTGAGCAAACGTCAAGATGCCCCAAAGGGCACCACAGCTGGGCGGCCGTCCTGCGGCAGTCAATCACCAAGAATTACAAGTGGAAGCAGGGCTATAACTGACCTAGAGGGACAAGTTGCGATAGGTCTACTCCCCACACCGGGCACTTTAAAGGCAACCCTCGGATATCATGTCATGGTTCTACAAGCAGAAAATGGCATGCACTGTCATGCGCTGTCAGCCTGTTGTCATTACTGTGGCATGGTGGGTTAACTGGAAGGTATTCACCATACATTGCACTGCCAGTTTGGTTTTCTGGCCGTTGGAGTGGCGCCCAGCCGCGCAGTGTAGCCCGATACGGCACATGTCTTTTACGCCGCAAACTAACGACAGCTAACTTTGAGTCGCCGCTTATCTTCGCCATCAAGTGATTAACCTCTCCCAACTCAGCTGCAGGGGTACCAATGGCATTCCAACACAACCTGCCTAAATCCACCTAAAAGTCACTGAACCTCAAAACACAACTACCAACGTGTGCAGCCAAGAATTGGGTCGGCTAGGCCGTCCAAGTTGAATCTCCTGTGACGGAGACGACCCTGGGGCCACACTCACAATCAGTGAGCAGAATATCGAAGCGGACGTGTTCGGCAACCACTGGTAGCCAGCTCGGTTTCCCCGCACGCCAGCGGCACTGAAGCTGAGACCTGCTAATTGCACAACCTTTGGACCGGACGGCCGACTCGCCGTGAGATTCTCCGGTATCCCCACCATGGGTGAGTTTACGCAGTAACCATCGTCAGCTGAAAAAGTAGCTGCTCTAACTAACGCACTATTATGACACGCACTGCGCTACCAAGCAAGGGAAACTACCGCTACATGGCCACAAGTAGTAAAGCAATCTTGGCTATTACCACAGGAACGATAGGTTTCTCTAAGAATGCTTATGAGGTCTAGCAGAGCTTAAATAGGATTCCAACACCATATGAGAAGTTATCGTCCACTATGTCGCAGTGGCTGGCCGAGTATGCTTGGCAGCGAACACATCGTCATCACATGGGGGACAAAATGAGATACCGGTATACTCTACCGGTAGCGTACAGGCCAGTTACGATGACTGGCCTCTGTGAGACCCAAGATTTGCTCAACTCACACAGTCAGCTCGGCGACGGTGATGTCTGCAGGCAGCACCGCGTCGGCGGCGGCGCCTTTGGTGCAGCTGGTGCCGGCCAGCAGGGCGGTCACCAGCTCCCGCTGGTGCTCGGGCAGCGTGTAGGCGGCGCCGGGCACCAGCGAGTCCAACGTGGGCGCGTCGGCGGCCAGCCGCGCCTGGTACAGCCGGCCATAGTCGACCGTCAGCCGGCCGGCCGACAGCTGGCGCGCCGCCGCCGCCACCAGCCGCTCGGGCTCGCCGCCGCCGCCGGCCGCCACGGCCGCCGCCAGCGCCGGCGAGCTCAGCAGCAGCACGCGGTCGGCGGCCGCCACGGCCGACGCCAGCGCGGCGGCGTCGCGTCGTGCCGCCCGCCGCCACTCGGGCGCGTCACTGTCGACGACAGAGGCGCCGCGGAGTCGCAGCTCGGCCGTCAGCTGGCGCAGGGCGGCCCGCTCGGCGTCCGAGCGCGCCAGGTGCAGCAGCAGCACGCGCGGCGCGGCCGGCAGGCCGCCGCCGGCGGTCAGGCAGTAGCAGCCGGCGGTCGCCGCGCGGTCCACGTAGCGCCGGTGCCGCCGCCGGCTCCAGAGCAGCGTGGCGACCGCCACGGCGGCGGTGACGAGTGCCAGGAGCGCCAGGCCGGCGGTCAGCCAGCCGGGAAGCGCGGCGGCGCGCAGCAGCGGCGGCGGCTGGCTGGGCGGCAGCCGCTGCAGGGGACCGATGTGGACACGCAGGTCACGGCAGCCGCCCGTGCCGCCGGCGCAGAACCACGTGTCGGGCAGCACCTGCGAACGGAGGCGGGAGGCGGCGAGACGGCGGTTAGATGGGCTCGGTTGCGACCCGAACTAAACACTTATTGACAGTTTGGGGTGACAAAAAGACGGTTCATGTTAATAAAATACATCTACCGAGCAAAAATTTTAACTGATTTTGTTGTAGGCCAGTGAATATTGTTTCGCTTTTCCACATTTGTAATACAAATCTTCTCGTGATGGTCTTAGTTTGGACCTCGTGTCGTTGACTCCGTTTAAATAACCCGCCGGTCGATCTTGAACATAATATAGTTAGCAAAGCCAAGTGTCAAAGTGCCAAAGGCCAAATGAAAGAACAAAGAGCTAGTACTGAATCACCTCCGAAAACAGAATTGACAAAAAAAGTGTAAAAGGCCAAGAAACAAGTGATAGGCCAGAGAACAGAACCGGAATCAGAATTAGAATCAGAACGATGGGCAGCGCGGCACTGGCCGCGTACATGGCGGCGGCTGCCTCTCATACGCAACACCCACATAGATGCACGTCACATCATGGCACCAATCAGAAGCGGACAAGGACAGACGTCACATGCGAGGAGTAAGGATCGTATGAGGGTAGATTGTATTGATAGGGTAGGGAACTGAGAAACAATTAGAGAGAGAGAGAGAGAGAGAGGTGGAGGATGGGTTAGGAGCGAACTTTGTAACAGCATTGTCTTTGATTTATCTGCAAGGCGATCACGACCTGACAGTTGACTGATCAGGTAACTATGTACAGCCAAACTTAGCGACTCGATTGAGGAAGTACCGGTCCACCAGGGTAGGCTGAACCCAGCCCATGGTACAACCCACCTGCATCAGCAGCGAGGTGTTGTACTGGAGGGAGCAGTTGGTGTCCAGCCGTAGCCAGCGGTCGGCCGCCGCTGTCGTTTGAAACACCGGCACGGCACGACACCCCAGCACGGACACGATGAATGACTCGAACCTGGAGACAGACACGGAGCCTGGCTAGTATCGCAGCGAAGACACGACAGGAAGAGAACACTCAATTTAACGTAGCATGTTAACCTTCCAGGCGGTGGGGGGGGGGGGGGGCAATTTTTTGCCCCCCTTTAGTTTTTTCGATATATCTCGAGAACCGCTGCGCCGATCGTCACCAAACTTTCAGTACCCTCCCGGGAGCAGCTAGCGCACATGGTGACCAAAAATTTTTCAAATGGCTATGATAGGTTGGCCGCTAATGACGTCAGAGTGACGTCATTTTTGCCATTTTCGACCCAAAAAAAGGTTTCGCGGGAAGAGCTGTCAGGCCTACAGCTTTAGGATACATAAAAATGTTTCAGACATAAAAGGTGTGGAATCAAAAGGGCTACAAAACTACTATTTCGGTTTTTCGATTTTTTTGGATTTTGACCCCCAAAAATCAAAAAAATAGATTTTTCGAATATAATAGCCGAAAAATCCAAGAAGTTTTTTGAATTTCGAAAAAACCGGAATATATGTGATAGTCCCTACCGCCTTCTATCTACATACCAAATTTGAGATCGATACCTCTTTTTTTGGCCAAGTTATAGCGAAAAAACTGTTCAAAATTGATGACGTCAAATTTTCAAACTCAATTTTTAGCAATTCTAGACCTCGTAGCGCAAAACAAAGACCACCATTAGACTCCCCGTGACGAGCTGCATCGAATAGATACCCATTTTATGCAAAAATATCAACTTTGAAATTTGACCTTTTTTGACCTGACCTTGACCTGACCTCCACCAGAAAGTGACCTTAACCGTACCTGATGGTCTTATAACCAACACCATTGAGTTGGAAATGAAAAACTGGCCATAAAACATGCATCGCATAACCTTAGTAAAGTTGGGCTCATGTGGTGACCCTTGGTGACCTTTGGTGACCTGACCTGTGACCTGACCTGGTATGAACGGTGACCTCTAATAGCAACATATGTACTAGATAACTGACGCCTCATCGCTGATTTTCGACAAAATGCGTTTTACTCGGTGTTATAGCGCTTTCCCTAGAAGCCCCGTGAACGGTGAAACATTTTGTCTTTGACCTGACCTGTGACGTCATCAGTGACCCCGAGGTCAATGAAATTTGGTTTCCCTCAACAAATTTGACAGGGCTATCGAACGCCGTTTGAATTTTCCGGATCCGTCCAGTAGTTTTGGAGATACGGGGGGGGGGGCAAAAAAATGCCCCCCCCCCCACCGCGCGGAAGGTGGCTGGTAGGCCCACCGCCTGCCGGGTTAAAGAGCCGTTAATGAGCTGGGCGAGAAAACGGAACCACAAAATTAATGAAGTCCCCCCAATTGAGCTCGAAATGAAAATGACGTTCTGAATTCTGATCGCAGATCTCGCAGTGAAAATCCAAGAAAATATACCAACAATACAGTGAACGATTGGCAGCGTGCCTAAACGTTGAAAAACAAACACTGGTTCAGTCTCCCCGAGTACAGGTACAGGTCTCGCGAGATTAAGCGGTAGGTTTTACACTTTTACATTTCCGGTTATATCTCAGAAACTAATCGATCTACGATGAAGCCATTCTACACGATCATGGCCGGCTTGTTACCCAACAAGTCGATCGCATCTTCAACACTAAAAAGCTTAAGACGACGAAGATATAGCCTGAAGTACACTAAATTTTCTAGGTGCAAAACCTACCGTTAAAACCCGCGAGACCTGTACATTGGGATCAGCTACAGCCGATACACCGTCCAGTGTTACTAGCAGCAGCTCAAGTCCCCTTCGACTAACTACCCTGCCCCAACTACCTGGGGTTATTCCCGTCTCCGCTGTCCTGTAACCGGTCTAAAGCAGTCAATCTACCCCTGCCGTCCGCGGGACCCACCTGAACCCGGTCTGTTGCACGCTGACGGACACGCTCGGCCCGGCGGCCGTGTCGTCGTGGCGCCAGACGCTCACGTTGGAGGTCCGCCGCCAGGCGCGCATGTCGATCCCGGCGCGGTGCTCGTAGCGCCGACAGCGGCTCGGCCGGCGGCGGCACGGCCGGCCCGACCGGCAGCTGCAGCCCAGCTGGACGCAGTAGGAGCTGAGCGGCAGGTGGCGCCCGCGCGCCCGCAGCACGCCCGGACCGTCCGCCGCGAGCGGCACGCAGTGCTTGATGGAGCGGTCCAGAGAGGTCAGCCGGAACACCGAGTAGCGCTCCAGGGAGTCGGCGGTGTCGGGCGGTAGCCGCGCCGTCACAGTCACCCCACCGTCCGGCCCGGAGAGGAGCTCGAACTCCGGCTCCGGCTCCGGGTCAGTGCGGCTCCGGATCACGTTCTGCGCTGGCTGCTCAATGCTGCCCGGTTTTCCCAGCTGAGAGAGGCCGGCCGGGCCGAGATCCCCGGCTGGCAGATCCGGATCCGCGAGCAGCAGCACTGGGTCCGGGACGAATGTGCCATTCTGCTGCGGTTGGATGGCCACACCAAAGGCACTTGGCAACATCAACATGTGAAGGAGGAAAGCCATTGGAATCAAGGAGTGCAGCATGGGAGATAAGGATAAGGGCGTTTTTATTGCTAGGATGTCATTATTTCATGAAGGACATGTTGCCCATATATTATTTGGGAGTTATGTAATATACATAGTTAAAAAAATCATGTCTTTTTGTTGTCTTAAATGGTCATTCCTGATGGAGAGTGAGTTGTACTTGCTTGCTCATTGAGTGTTGCATACCAGCTGCATTTCTGAAAAAGAAACAATGCAAGAATAATTAGCTGGGCACTTTGAGCCAAAACAGAAAGTAGGCAATACCAATAAAAACTACACCATTGTCATGCACAGAGTCAATATTTTGACCCTTCACCCTAAAATTTTTCCACTCTGGTGGTGGGTACACTTTCATTTGGTTCCAACCCTGAATCTTGTCAATGTTAAGCTACAGCCTCTAATTTTATTCATGGTGTGAGATTAAACACTACTATTGAAATTTGAAGGACTGCAATTAATATTACTACTGCACATCCCACAAGCTTCTACATTTTGCAGATGTCAATGCCTGAACATCTATATAAAATAAGCTTAAGAAATTGCATGAGAAAATAAACATACCTAAACAAGCTAAATCAGTACATTACTGGTCAAGTTTGTAGATTGCTGGCATGCAGCGTGAGCATTACAGTCAATGTAGGCTCTAAAAAATGGGTATTCATTAGAACTAGAATTATCATTTTAGAATTACCATATTCGAACTTGAAGCATTAGGACTATTGCTGATATTATTTGTCAGGTAGTTTTGGCCATGAGCCGGTGTTTGCTTATTTGCATCCTATTTAAATTATGAGTTGGAATACCTCATCGTCGTTGTTATAACAGATTGTGACACTCACAGCACGGTACATGCACAAAGAGACAAGCCAAGGTGCGGTTGGAGAGGCCGACGTAACCTGGCGTTTTCATTGTAGTTAATTGCTCGCTCTGACCTTGTCCTATAAATCATCAATTGCCAACAATCTACTTGCGTAAATCTCACTCAACAAAACTTATTCCACACTCATTCCCCAACTTGTAAAATTCAACAACATCAAGATATCATATTCTGATACATAAGCCTTGCACTAACTTCAGTTCTTCACGCCTTTACCAGATTGAAATCAAAATTGGCCAGATCTCTATAGCATTGATAGCATTGATAGATTGAGATAGGCCAGCTAGCTAGCATTGATAGGCCAGATTGGCTGGCCCACAGTGTATATAAATCGCCTGGCCGTTCGAGGAACTTGAGGGCATGTAGGTAAAGATCACCACACAAAGTGGGGCACTTTTTAAAAATATTATTTCAAATTCTCGCACCTTGTAAATTATAGTCCTCTGCACCTTTGGTGCACCTCAGATTGATGCCAATGACCCATCAATGACCTATTTATTAGAATTTACCCCGCGTTCGATGTCCTTCGGACGACGAAGATTCTACGCCGTCCGGCCAATCCCGCTCAAGGTCAGCGGGGGATCGGCTGCGGTTATGGAACGTGATTGGCTGGACGGCGTAGAATCTTGCCGTCCGAGAGACATCGAACGCGAGGTTAGTAAGCAGTCAATCGTCTTAGTTGCGCCAAAATCACTGAATCTCAAGTCTTTTTTTAAGTATTAAAAGCTAAGGTTTTATCTACCACTCATAGATGACGCCACTTGGCCCCGACGATTCCCCTGCACTGCAAGGGCCATTAGCGTCGCCACGGGGGGGCAAGCGGGGCAGCTTGCCCCCCCAACCTCGGACCGGGCACCCCCTGAGATCGATACAGATCCGATGAGATTTTGGAGTCGGGGAAAAATGGGGGTACCTTTCTGAGAATGCCTGTGAGGTCAGACTGTTGGAGCGTGCAGTTCAAACCAAAGTCAGAGTCGCAGTCGCCAAAATCTTCAAGACTCCGACTCCAGAGTCCAGACTCGGAAATGTCAATGCCATGATTCATGCCATGTTCCTAGTTGGTTCTTTATTACATTTTGTAGCTGATTTTCATAAGTTTTGGAGTGCTGACACATAATTTTCGTTCAAAGCGTGACACGAAATCTTCGGGGCCTTTCTCAACTCTCGTCAAATGTCTGCGACAGGCACATGGGCGCCGCCACCGGGGGGGACGGGGGGACGCGTCCCCCCCACTCTCAGAATGGAAGGGGGACGTCCCCCCCAAACTCATTACGGAGCAAGCGTAGTCTTTCGGGAAATTTCTGAATTCTGAGTAGGTATGAGCGGCCGGCTGTGGTCTTGCTTTTGCGAGACTTATAGGGGAGAGTGGGGAAAGATGCCCAGGGTTTTGCTATGTCATATATTATTCGAAAATGACGATCGGAAGGCAAAAACTTGGAGTTTCAACGGAAGCCGACATCATTTTTCTCCAAAAATATCACACTTTCGTGCCTGAAATATGATAACGTTTTTTGCTATTAAGCATTTTCCTGAAGAAGTGAAAGGGGGCATCTTACCCCACAGGGTGGGAAAGACGCCCCCTGGGGTTGGGGAAGATGCCCCCTGCACTATAAGTGACATAAATGGGCACGTGAATCGCCTGAACGAATCAGTAGTCCCTTCGAGCCTGCAGTAGACACCAAACGTCATCGTAAGGGCCCTCAAAAGTAGTCGTAAGGGGCTTCAGAGGTCATTGTTAGGGCCATCATAGTCCAGCGCGGCCAAACAAGCCTCCGTGGTGGCGTTCGGAGACCACTGTGGGGCCCTTATAGGTCTTCATGATTCTTGAGGGCCCTCGAGCCCATCGTGGGGACCTCAGATGCTAACGCGGCCCGTGGAGCCAACGTGGGAGCCCTCAAAGGATGTCGTGAGGGGCCCTGGAGCCAATAATGGGGCCCACGGAGGCCGTCGTGAGGGCTCTCAGAGTCAGATGCCGCCCAAAAAGTCGCTGTCTGGGCCGAGAGACCGGCATGGGTAGCACCCGACCGTACTGGACTCTCAATAGTCCCAGATCGGCTTTTGTTTCTCATCACAAGTATGTAAGTAATAATTTGACGGGCTGCTTGAAGGACAGCCTACGGATTAAGGGGGGCGTCTTTCCCCATCAGGACAGGGGGCATCTTACCCCAAGGTACCGAAGTCACATTAAATCAGTACAATTTGTTAGCCATAAAACTACACCCTGAAACAAACTGTTTTTTTTTTTAATCATGTATTCGTTTATTATCATCAAGCGAGATCAAGAACAAGCATCCAAGTGCACTGGCGTTTAAATACGCGGGCGGGCATACTACATACATTGCCGCCCCAGCCCTATCGTACCCGATTCCTAATAGGTATGAGTGTCCTCTCTTCCCGTGTACGACATTACACAGCTGGCCGCCCGAATGCTGCGCCAACTACCAGAGTACGCCCCAGTCGTCCACACTCGGCAGAAATCATACAAACCACGCACCCGTGCGAGATATAACAGTTATACACAGCTCTTTTTTATGCATACATATTACTAACACTGTGCCATCGGACCGCCACGCCGTCCCGGCCGAGCGGGGCCAGGCCCGGCTGCGGCACGGGCAGCAGCGCCAGCGGGCACGCCACTACGGGTGGGCCGGACGAAAGGGCCGCCGGGCGACGGGCGCGGCACCGTGCCGGCCGCCGGACCCCCGACGACAAACCCCAGCAACGGAGGTATCTCGCACGCATGGGTTAATTGGATGTGGGGAGGGCTGAGGGATGGGATAAGGAGTTGGTTGGGTATCAGACAAGATTTTCGATACACTGCCCCATTTTTCTAAAAATTGTAAATTCTTGTTATTTCTAATAGAACTTATCTGCTCCTTTTCAGCTTCTATTTTCAGTAACGCAATGAACTGATTGATATTCGGTGTGTTGTTCTTATGTTTTGCTTGAAAGACTGCTTGTTTGGCTATTGTAATTATTATTATACTGAGTTTACTCTCTTCCCCGATCCTCGGAAAGAACCAGGACTGTGCCGTAAGGCGCATTATTATGTTATAATTGTCTTTTATATATCCTATTATTTCTTTTATGAAGTCTTTTACTTTTTCACACTCCCACAGTATATGATATAATGTTTCATTCTCCTCCTTGCAAAAAGTACATAACGGACTTTCGGATTTACCAATCTTGAATAGGAATGTATTTGTTGATATAATTCTGTTTATAATGCGGTAATGCAAAGTTTGCAGGTATGTATTCTTTGTGGATTTCTGCACATCGTATAACGTACCTTCGTGCATACACCCTACATCTACTATACTATTTGTGAAATGAAACTCTGTAGGTATGTGTTTCTGTCTGTTTGCACCGTGCAGAGGTGTGCTTTGACGCCGTGCACAGGTCAAACGGTGCGGTCGATGAGGCTGAAATTTTCGCACAGTGTTGATGACGTCACGGGCACGTGCAGTGGCGTGTTTCGGGTCTCGGGGGGTGGATGGTTCGCACGTGGCACGCGCTGGAAAAAGGCGCATTTCCTCGGAATTTTGCTCGGCTCTCAAGCTTGCTTCAAGGCATCGGCAGCCGGGTTCATTCGCATTTGACAATAAAATGCATGACGATCGGCGGCGGGTGCCTCTCATTTGCAGATTGGCCAAGTTATTTATTTTGCTAAACAGAGGCGAATGAAGGTGTTGATTTTCGGAAAAGAAAGACAGTTTTCAATGCGCTTACACAAATGCACCGCGTTTGCCGTAGTGAGCCACATTTGTCCACATGCGCTATTTTTGCCGCAAATCGCACAACTTTGTCAAATATGGTCCGATAAAGGTGCAATGCGGTGGAAGGATGCATGGCAAAATAACAGGTACAAATGCGCCACGTTTGTCGCAACGCGCCACATTCGTCACAAGGCGCTATTTCCACCAAATATGATTAAGAATAATGGAATTCCACGAGCAGGAGCACGGTAAGGAACTCTTTTTTTAGTTCATCAGTTTAAATGATAATCTGTGACCTCACATGACCCAGTGGTAGTGGTGGTAGTGAAGTGGTAGTAGTATTGGTAGGAGTAGCGTTAGGGGTAGTGGTAGTATTAAGGGTAGTGGTAGGGGTAGTGTTAGGGGTAGTAGTAGGGGTAGTCGTAGGGGTAGTGGTAGGGGTAGTAGTAGGGGTAGTAGTAGGGTAGTGGTAGGGGTAGTGGTAGTGGTAGGGGTAGTAGTAGTGGTAGGGGTAGAAGTAGGGGTAGTGGTAGTAGTAGGGGTAGTGGTAGGGGTAGTGCCGGTAGTGGTAGGGGTAGTGGTAGAGGTAGTGGTAGGGGT